TATATATATATATTGAGAGGGTACTTGTAATTCGAACGTGTTTGATCGTAATGTGAACAAGCGTAATGCATCTCCAAAGCGGGACAATATTTAAGCGAGAAACTTCGTAAATTCGCAGATGCGTTATGTTCGTTCGTGTTTTTTTTCGTATTTGCTGACTTTTTGTTGATGTTTTAGACATATCGTATTCTGAAGGTGAATGACGAACGAATTGGCTATCAGTCGTTGTGTAAAGAATTAGGCAACTGGAATATTACATTCAACGAAACGCTTTTTTGTGAACTCATCGCCAATTATCCAAATGTTTTCGAATGTGAATTCACTCGAAAAGGTCCGTTATAGAATCTCTTCAAGTGATTTCTAATAAGAGTATATCCATTCTCAAATTTATCTTTCTCGTTTATCTACTTTCGGTTCATTTTTTATATGACCTTTACATAAATGTTCTTAAAATTCATAATTGGAATAAACGAAAAGATTCAGGTAAGAATTATCAGTCATTATCTTTCCTTAATTGTTACTTGTTGAAGTCAATATCGCTTTGCACTCAGATGAGAAGTGATATTCATCCACTGACTTGAACTCTGTCGAAGTAGCCTACATACTGCTGACTTGTGAATATGTTTGTATGAATTGTGTATTAGAGACTGAAATTGCTTAGTGTCTGAAACATTTACTGATATTATAAATAGTTGCATTTTGATTAATGCGAAGATTGGATAATTTTAAAAAAGAAGAATGTAGCAGTTTTTAAGAGAATAAATTCGTATCGGAACCATTTTTTTTCGGATTGTCTTTTATAATGATTTCAATGAAGTTTATTGAAAGAGAAATGTTGCGAAATAAAAAAGTTCATTTGATTGGTTTTGGACAATTTGTAGGCCATTTCGTGTATCTAAGCGAAGGTGCAAAGCCTCCCACTCGTTTTGCTGTTGTGCCCAATTCGAATCTCCTCCAACCAATTGTGACCGAAACTATGATCAGTGACTGTAAATCGGCTAGCAGAATACTGGAAGAGGTTTCGTTTTGTCTTTTTAACTTTGAAATTTGCGAACGTCTAAACATTGAATTGAGCGATTCTGAGAGGATCGATGACGATGTTGGAAACTTTTTCTGTGCATTTTGAAGAGTTTTGGTCAAATGTGATAACATTGAATCATCGACGAAGCTTTTCTCTCATCTAATTTGAAATGATAATTTCGAAATTTTGGAATGGATGTTCTTCGTATTAATTGGACAGTTAGTATGAATATTAATACTTATGTGGCACTTTTTATATGAGTAGATTGGGAAATTCAACGTAATGTGGAGGAAGATTTTCTGTGATCGTCAAAGTGTATCTCTGTTCAGATGCCAATTTCTTNTTGTAGCTTTATTGATAAGGTGTCGTTTTCTTATGCTAACAATTTCTGTATTTTAAAAAAAAACTTCAGATTCACTTGGACGATTTAGAAGTTGTGCCTTATCGTTCGGGTACATACCGTTTCAAAATCGTATTCCGTCGTTCCAGTGATCATGATCGTCAGTTGTTCAGCAAACTCAATACTGACATTCAGTAAGGATGCTTGCTGTGTTATTCTCTCTTTTTTTTGCGGTCTTTCACCAACTTTTACAAAATCATCGCACATTTTGAACTAACTTTTCATATTCTCATTGATGCATTTAATCAGTATTCGTATTGCTATTAGTTTACAGCTGTAATATCATGGAAGCGTACTCGAAATGCAATATTAAGTTTTAACTTTGTAGGATTAAGTGATTGAAACTTAATTCCGCGTTTAGAATACAAAATGACACTTTGATTTTCGAGTTTTTTTGGCCATTAGAGAGAAATTTTTATTGGAATCGTTGTGTAGTTGATGTTCGCATAGAAGCGTATTAAACAGAGTAGGGAAGTTGTACGGATATTCTCGGAAAGATTGCTCTTATGTGCTCCATTTTATTGGGATCTGTTTCTAGAATTTGTTTAGGAAACATTTTCAAATGATGTTTGAATTGCAGCGGTCATCCGTAGGGCAGCGTTGTATATGATATAGAATGATGAAATGATTTAAGTGAATTCTACAAAAACAATTGGGATGCAAGTGGGTTGAGAACGGATCAATTGTCGACTGGTGATCATCTGGTGATGCTGGTACGCAATAAACAAGTGAAACGAGTCCGATTTGAGGGCATTAATAAAGATGGCAGTTTGAAAGTGTTTTCGCTCGATGACAATTCTTACGAAGAGACGTCAGCTTCAAACTTAAATCGGGTTCATCCGTTTGTTTCTCATTTTATTCCGCCAAACTTTTCATCTTTGATGAGCCTTCACATATCCACACTATGAGCCGTACAACGCCGAATAAACTTCACTTCGAGGACCTCTCAATTTCGGGATGAATTTTCATTTCACTTTTGCTTCAAAGTATTCGTCCGATGTAACGTTTACGTGATTATCAAGCATCTCTTTTTAAGAAAGACCATTATTTATCCTAATATCCTGTTTTAGTTCGGTTAATAAGAAGGATATAATAATGCTAAGGGGCNTTAATGCCAGGCCATTTTAATTGATTTTAACGTGAATCGGCGTTTTTCTAACTGCTTTTCCCTTCTTCAATGAGAATCAAATGCAAACGTCAATTCATGGCTGTAATGATGCTCATACTTTTTGAGGAATTTCGGAAGGCGTTCGATAGCCTGCGAAGAAGTTCCTTATCTGGTGATGCCGGAAATACAAGGGCAAATATTCAGATCTATTGTAATGTAAGTGATTAGTTGTGATTGCTTATCGGTTCTGTGGTATCCACTGTACTCACATTTATGTTCACGTACATACAAACGTTTGTGTTGCTGATGACAGTTTATAATTTTCAGCCAAGTGCGACATTGTTTCATGTTGTGCAGTTGCGAGTGAACCGGCGATGCTTACCAGATTGTTTCATAAAAGATCATTTCATTGAACTAATCAATCATAATCGGGTGGTTTACAGTGAGGAAGAAAATGGACAAACTGAGAATAATGAAAACGATAGTGACGCACAAATGTGGCATGGTACTTATCAAAGAAGTTCATTTGGAATATTTTCTTTTGCAGGGCATTTGATAGCGTTTTGCTTTATTTTAGTTAGACAGACAATTTTAAGCAACTCTAAAAGTAACGTTTATTCAGTCGGCGTTTTCGTATAAGCCCTTTTACTGAGAGTTGCAAGGAGCACGGTATAAAATTCATTCAAAATATGAAATAATGTTCATTTGCGAATTTTTCTGATTCATTATTTCAGTACTATTCACTGCAAGCAAAAGAGTGTTTGATTGCTCAGAATCTCGCAGCTTAGCTATACTCGTTTAGCAATCAAATTCTTGCCGAAACTTAATCAGATTCTCACATATCAATTTTCCTCAAAAAACCGACTCTGGTGTAGTTAATCCATAAATGATGACACTACTCACTG